GAGGAAGGTGAAGGGGACAAAGAAGGTTGGTGAAGGGAAGTGAAGCCGGCAGCCATAGCCGACCAGAGGAGTTGACTGGAGGTGACCGGGGGGTTGACTGCAGCATTGACCGGCATGGACCAAGACCGTTGACCAAGGCCATTGACCACGAGTTGAGCAAGCTGGAGCTGGTAAAATCTCGCCAAGCCTTCAGCCTATCCCTCGCCCTATGGATGTGCACACACCCTGTGGTACTTGCTGAGTCCAGTTTGTCTGTCTCTTCTTTCTGCATTGAGTCTCTTCTGTCTAGGTGATAGTACTCTGTGGATGAAGGATAGGGCCTTGTTGACCAAACCCACATGGGCTGAGTAGGGCTAAAGACTGTGTCCAACGACTCGACTGTCCCGGAGGCCTAACCCTCCCAAGGACCGGTACTGACCGGCGGGCTGCTCGGTGTGGCACGGTAGGCCCAAAATCCGAGCTGTGGGCTGCACACCAGGCCGTCTAAGTGTTGAGAGACCTGCTGATCGCGCCGTCCTGTCTGCGACGTTAAATAATTATTGAGGAGTTACGGGGGATCTCCTTAAATGCCTCCTGATTAGCAACAGGTCTAGTTGACAACCATAGTGTAGGTCTAGGCTAGAGACCCTAGTTGGCAGGATCCCTGTCCGGATTCAGTGAGTCTTAGATTGAGTCAGTAGGTTTGTCAGTCAGGGGTCAGTGTCTACGTGGTGAGGTTTGGAACCGTAATCCGGTTGTGCACTAGTCACCATGGTTGAGAGTCTTGAGACCCGTAGTGGGATGAGCACTAGCCCCTACACCCAGGAGCAACAGGAAAAGATGGCCGCCTTAGTGAGAGAGAACAAGGAGAGGAAGGAGCTCCTGAAGCAGGCGAAGCTGAAAGCTATCGCAGAGGAGCAGGCGGCAAAGATGAAGAAACTGGAGGAGGAGATGAAGAGAGTTCAGCAGGAGGAGGAAGAGAGGAGAAAGGCTGTCGAAGAGGAAGCAGCAACAGAAGAAGAAAAAGAGAGAAAACATATTGAAAGTAGAGAGGAGAGTAGTGGCACGAAGAAGGATGAAGACGCAGAGATGGAGAAGAAGATTAGCGAGTGGATAGCTAACTTATCGTTGGGGGAATACGAGGAGGCAAAGTTTTATGTGGCCCAGAATGAGAGGGATGCGGTAGCCAGTGAGCTAGCAGCCATACTCAATAAGGCTAGTAAAAATTGCTAATACTCAATTCACACTGACTACTTTTTCGTTCACACCACAAGGTCTAAACTTTAGTCACCCTTGCTTTAACTTTAAGGTACTATGAGCAGTATACAACCTATATAGGCAGGATTTTCAAGCTAGTCATAAGTCGGTTGTAATCGTGGCTACAAATGTTACTCACCCTCGCACTCGTATCACATAGCAAGGTGGCCGTAGATAAGTCTGCAAGAGATGCACTTGGCAGAGAGTGAGGGTACTCTTTATCTGCCCGCTACCGCCCGAATCTCGTCCCAATCTACAACTGTAGCGGTACCCCTACGGCCCGACAGTGAGACCGGACCAGTTTCAGGCCGTCGGCCTGACCCTGGTCCGGTACCAGATTGCTCCGTACCTGGACCTATGCCGGTATATCACTTCGGCCTAGGCCCAGGGCAGGGGGTTCATTCATTCAGTTGTTTGTTCGTTCATTGAGTCGGACTAGACCTTCACTCTGCTGCTTGGTGTTTGTCCATCTCCTCTCCTCTCTCTCTCTCTCTCTCTCTCTCTCTCTCTCTCTCTCTCTCTCTCTCTCTCTC